CAATATTAATTTTTTTTTTAAATTACTTAAAGATATATATGCGTGCACCATGTTTAAAAGATTCCTATGGTATAATTATTATTGGGTACACCTTTACAAGTAAAATTGACGGTTCAAATCTCACTTCGAACGATCTTGTTTTTAGTACAAAGTATATATGTGAAAATCATTAAAATTTCAAAAAGAATATAATTTTGAACCTATAATTTCAAAAGTATAGTGAATTCGTGGTAAGAGACTAAAGTTAAACCCGTCTAATGTAAATTCTAGATCCACTTTTATTTCCGGACCCTGCGTGAATGAAGTCTTCAACTAATGCTCATCAGTATTTTAAAAGGCGGGGGCGTGAGGCGAGGCATTTTACCTCTGACGAGGCGAGGCTTAAGCCTTGAGACATGGGGCGTAAGTCCCATGGATCTTCAAATTTTACCGATTTAAAGAATTTTAAGATATTATAAAATAAAAAAAATAATTATAAAAATTACATTAAAATCACAAAATTATAATAAATAATCTATTTAAATATTTATATATTATAATTCAACTATGAATAATACGAAAAGTATGACATATATCATAATATGCAAATTAATTGCAACGTCGTTACAACTCAAACATCAAAGTAACGTATTCGATACGAAATCTTATATGTATCTCTTACGGAGTAATGAANGTTAACCTAAGGAGAAACTCTTCACATCTGTTCTTTACATCACAGGCTACATAACAGTATGGAAATACTTTTTATCTAGAGCAGGAATTGTCTTGCAGGATTTGACTTTGCACCAAGCCATTACAAAGTGTTGGAATGCTCCAGTTGTGCCTAGATTAAAACCAATAATGCAGGCATTGCATGTGTGTATTGTATGGGAGCTTTGGAAAAGGAGAAAGAGTTTTAAGTATGGGGAAGCAATATAAGTAAATAGGGTAATTTATCAGGTGTCTACTGCACTGCAATCACTAGTGCAAATGCAAAAACCGGGCTTGCAAGTACCCCATAAATGGTCCAACCTTCTATACATGCTGGAGCAATACACTCCTCGATTGAAATATGAGAAAGTACTATGGGAGTTACCTATAGAAGGCTGGATCAAGGTGAACACAGATGGAGCAAGTAGAGGAAATCTAGGAAGAAGTGCAATTGGATTCTGCTAAAGGGATCAGGCTGGAGACTTAAAATATGCACAAGGAAGGGAGATCACTGAGGGAAGTAATAACAAAAAAGAAGCCATAGCAATAGTTGAGGCTTTGAGGATCTGCAAGGCTATGAACTATGATCACATTTGGTTGCAGACTGATTCCCTGCTTCTAAAAAATATAATAGAAGGATCTTGGAAGCCACCTTGGTGTATTATGGAACAAATAGAGGAGACTATGAAGCTGAAAGAAGATTTCAACATTAAGTTATCTCATATATTCAGAGAAGGGAACTCATTGGCTGATCATCTAGCAAATTATGCTTTAGATGTGGGGGATATTGAGTGCTTTGAATTTTGGGATCTTGATTCAAAAGGCAGGAAGATTGTGAACGATGACAAGTCTCAATGCCCATATCTAAGAGTAAAAATTGCAAGGAAGTAGGGTGTGCAAAGGGGATTCATAAGAACAGGCCAATTGGATTCAGCTCTTATGGTCATCATGCTCAAACCTTTTGTGAGGAGAGCATGGTGAACTTTTATTTCACTAACTGTGTGCTCTTTTTTGCAGGTACAAGGGTTGTGATGTTGATCTATGTGCTAATAGAATTCCATATGGTGGTATTAATGCCTAGCATTCATTCCTATGGAAGGACATTGCATATGTTAGCAGTATAGTAGCTAGGAGGTGCTTTTCCATAGCAGAAACATGTAGAAAATTGCCCAAAAGATCTAAGAGAAATGGGCAAATTCAAAAGGATTTCAAAGGAAAAGAGTCTATAGAGGACTCAAAAAAGCAACATAAAAATATGAAGCCCAGAAAGTCTAAGAGAATTGGGCAAAGGGGACTGAAGTCAAGAAAAGGCTGGTTCATAGAACTGCAGTCAAGACCTAGAATTACAGTCCCATGGGATACAGGGAATCAGGCAATCAAAAGCAGGAAGAAATCTCATCTAAGAACAGGAAAAAATATTGTGGTTTTGCCTTACATTTTGATACAACTCCAAAGGGTGGTATTAGCACTTAGTGCTCAGTCCCTTGGAGAGGTATTAGGTGTAAGCAAAAGCAGGAATGACAAAGGTAACAAACACAAGCAAGGGATCACATCGCAGGGAGATTTAAGATGGTGGTCACAGATCAATCACAAGGACATATGTATGTGGCTACATAAATGTAAAAAAAAGGAGCAGTACATTTTGTGGTATAGAATGTTGGGTACATTGGTTATGATTTGGTCTGGTATAGAAAAGCAATACAGTAGCAGGATAAAGCTAGAAGGATTACTCACAGCAGGAACAAGAGCAGTAGGATTGGAAGATATTATTGCTGCAGCTATGTCTCACCTCATGAGGAGCTTGCAACTGGTGGTATTAGTCCAATGTACTTAGCCCAGTGCAGGTGAATCATGGGTGAGCGTAACTATAGCAACAAAGAAATATAGGGGCAATGTTAAGGCTCAGACAACTGTGCATTCTCAAGTATGTACCAGGAGTTGGACAAGAGTTCCAGGCAATGCAGCTGTACTGGGGATCAAAAGACAAATGCAGCTTCATAGCACAATAGCTCAGGGATCAAACTTCATAAGGAGACATATCAACAACACTGGAATCAATCGAGAAAAGGAGTGCAACCAACTCAAGTTGGAACATATCAAGAGATGGCAATTCACAGGGCAATTTTGGTTAGGAATTTTGGACAACCACGGATCAAAAGGGACTAGGATCACAATACCTTATCACAGCAGGACAAACAATGCAGGAATTCAAGAGAGGAAATCAATGAAGTCAGGCAAAAATAAGAGCAAAAAGGAAGCAAATGGACAATTTAGTGGACAATGTTGGGCAGCAAAATTGGGAATAAATTACAGTAGCGTTGGATACTGGGAGTATAATGAGAATTTTTTCCGCAACTGGACAACAACAATATCAAGGAAACATCAAGGAAAAAAGGAATCACTATCACAGTAGAGGCAGTAAAGAGCATTGACAAGAATATTGGCTTGGTTAATTATAACATGATTAGTGTAGGTAGTACTCATCTTGTGATATCAATGTTGAGCTCATTACTCAATGTTTGTAATAGGTATAATGTAGTTTTCAAAGTTTATTATTTTCATAGTTTAAGACCACCTGACAATGTATTTGTTTTTTGATTTTTGATATAAATAAAACCTAGCCCTAGGTCCTACCTAGTGGATTGCAAAAAAAAAAAAAAAAAAAAAAAAAAGAGAGATATGGAGTAGACAATTAGAAATTTCTATTCATTAAGGTAACTTCGAATAGTAGTAATAATTATGACAACCTCTGGTTGACTGTAGTAGCAAACAATACTAATTGCTATACTTATATTAGCACCTTAATTATGCACATTTAATGATTTATAATATAATTAAGGATTTAAAAAAAAACATGGGGGATCTTCATCGGATAAAATATGAATTAGTATAGGTCTGACTTTGATATCATGATTAGAAATTGACCTTGAATCTTGTCTTAACTCCGAGAGTTAACTTAAAGTGAGTGTTACTCAAGACAATTGTGGCACTCTAACATAGCATATCAAGTTTAATTTCTAATTTCATTAATTATTACGTAGGAAGTGGAGTTTTGTAACAACGGTAAAGTTATAATCGTATGACCTATAATAGGTCACAAGTTCATATCGTGAAAGCAACCACTATTGTTTGCATTACGATAGGTTGTATACATTCCATCCCTTGGGATGCGGTCCTTCCTCGACAAGGGCGTATCTAGCTTGAGTTGTATGGGTTCACGTGAACCCATACTCCTTTTCTTAAATAATCTATAACAATATTATATTTTTTTTTAAATTACTTAAAGATATATATATATGCGTGCACCATGCTGAAAAGATTCATATGGTGTTATAATTATTGGGTACACCTCTACAAGTGAAATTGACGGTTCAAATCTCACTTCGAACGATCTTGTTTTTAGCACAAAGTATATATGTAAAAATTACTAAAATTTCAAAAAGAATATAATTTTGAACCTATAATTTCAAAAGTATAGTGAGTTCATGATAAGAGACTAAAGTTAAACTCGTCTAATATAAATTCTAAATCTACCTTTTTACAATAGTGCCCCTATTATCTTAAAATTCTGGATCCACTTTATTTTCCGGACCCTGCGTAAAAGAAGTCTTCAACTAATGCTGATGTGATTCTAAGTTCTTTNAAAGATTTATTTAAAATTACCTATCATAGCAGTCTTAGTGGATAACATGCAATAATTTTTATTTTAATTCTGACATAAAATACTCTCAACTTAATGATTTATGATTAAAAAAAAAGTAATTTTGAATAGTCAACGATTTATTAAGCAAATTTGAGAATTTATAAGGTTAGTTACATTGAATTGCATAAAGTTCCATTAGGCGAGTCCAGTACGCTGGGCGTTGGGTGTGTTCGGGGCGTAAGTCCAGATGGCCGAGGCGTAAGTCTCATGGAACTAAGCCCCACACATAAGCGCAGGGGCGTTTTACGAGTGCTCCGCCCCGGGGCGAGTTCCAATTCTGCCTTTTAAAACAGAGATGCTCATGCGATTCTAAGTTCTTTTACGAGCTCTGCTTGTCACCAAAATATAGTAATTACTAGGAGTTTTTTCTTTTCTTTTGGGGAAAATAACTAGTTACTAAAAATTTATGAACATGAGGAACATGTGTTATTGATATATCTCCAAATTTCAAAATTACCAACAGCTACGGTACAATAATACACTTCACATAGTTGTTGGCGCACTAAATTTATCTACTCTCATTTTCTTTTTCTTTTTTGCTTCAAAAGATAAGCAAAAGTTTTTCCACTCTTATTTCATTGCCTATAAATACCTCTATTGTGCTAGTGTTCATTCACAACTCTGAATTGCAATCTGTTTTTTTATTATTATTAATTCTTATCTTGTTTACTCATTCAAAGAAACTATGGCTCGCTCCTTGTGCTTCATGGCATTTGCAGTCTTGGCAATGATGCTTTTTGTTGCCTATGGTTTGTCTCCATTAATTTGTTCCTCTAAAATCTAAATAAAAATAAATGGAAATTATGTGAAGTTTAATTCTTGTTCTTGCTATGCAGTCGCTTAAGTACATAAGTTTGTATTTTTGTTTTTTAAACAAAAAAGCCTCCTTATAATGGTGTCTGCATATGACTTTATCTGTATAATTTTCTTATCAAAAAATGAATTTAAAGTTATAATTTTCTTATCAGTTTTCCATGTTAAATTTGTTTGACAAGTTTAACTTATATACTTTGATAGTGTACCAATAGTGTAATATTTCTTTACACTATCAGGTCTCTGTTACATGTGGTAATATTCCACTTTCGTTATTTTAAAAATTTTTATGGAGCATTATCTGTATATATCTTTTGGGATAGACCTAATACTGTAAATTAATACTGTTACTGTAAATTAATATTGTTAGTGTGTACGAGTTAAATACCTCATAAAATTTTAGTTATACTTATAAGTGCTTTTGAATGATTGTAGAGGTGCAAGCTAAGAGTACTTGCAAAGCAGAAAGCAATACATTCGAGGGATTCTGCGTTACCAAACCACCATGCAGAAGAGCTTGTCTCAAGGAGAAATTTACCGATGGAAAATGTAGCAAAATCCTCAGAAGGTGCATTTGCTATAAGCCATGTGTATTTGATGGGAAGATGATCAATACAGGAGCTGAAACTTTAGCCGAGGAGGCAAACACTTTGGCTGAAGCTTTGCTTGAAGAAGAGATGATGGATAACTAATTGGCGATTAGAAGAAATTAAGGATGAAGTGTCACACATAATAAAGTGCTGCCTTTCTTATAAGTGTAGCTAATGTTGTGTTCTTATTGGCTTTTAATAGCCGTTTGTTACACTTTAAATAAGTGTGGCACGTCAATCCTTTGTGCAATCTTGTACTAAGTTTATTTGTGTACTTTTATGAAAATGACCTTCTATGGTCTATGGTTAAGTTATCCATTTTGCTAGCTTTCATGTTTTTATTTTCTCCTTTTTTTTATAATCTTTTATAGTAGTAGCTACCAGGGGAGCTTTGGGGCATCGGTAAATTTATCTTCATTTTGCTAGCTTTCGAGCCGTGGAAGGAGCCAATAACACTTGCATTAGAGTAGCCTGTCGATATCGGATGGACTCTTTTCCGTACCCTGTGTGAATACACGATACCTTGTGCATCGAACTGCCATTTATAGTACTAGAGATGATTTGGGCCCAATCTCAAGAACAGAAATTTTGCAGAAACGTTGAAGTTAACAACTTTCTTGCTCCTTGAGGCCCAAAAAGAAACAAAAACTCAATAATAAGACACTAATGAAAGAAATAGCAAACAAGCACACTGATATTAACTTTGTTATAAAGAGAACCAACAAAAAGTGTAAAGTGTTGCACCATCAATGTTTTATAACCAACGCAATGAAAAACTCATTAACTATTTAAGTTATTATATACACTTTTCTTATATTATGACACTATTAAGGATGCGCCTTTTTCCTGTAATGCGACACAATATATTGAAAATAGCATTTATTTAATTTTATTTATTAAATCGACGGACTACGTGCCCAAATTTGTGAAAAATTGTGTTTCCTACAATGTCTTTTGGAATATTGAACAGGATAATAGTACAATAATAAATGCTTTTTTTATCTCGAATGTTAAAAACATGTCTATTGGCTAACCATTAATAATAGATGTACAAAATTATGTGTGACACTTCAATCCCTGTGGAACTTATAACAACATTATGAATGTTTATTGAAAAAAAAAAGATTCATGAGAAGAATTACCCTGTTCATGACTTATAGTTGGCGTCCATTGTTCATGCACTGAAGATTTGGAGACACTATATTTACGGCGTGTCGTGTGAGGTATTCACGGATCATCAGAGCTTGCAGTGCTTGTTCAAATAAAAGGATCTCAATTTGAGGCATATGAGGTGGTTGGATCTATAGAAAGACTATGATACCACCATCTTATATCATTACGGGAAGACCAACGTGGTGGCCGTTGCCTTGAGTAGAAATATAGTGAGTTTGGGCAGCCTTGCATATATTCCAGTTGGTGAGAGACTGCTTGCATAAGATGTTTAGGCTTTGGCCAATCATATTGTGAGGCTGGATGTTTCAAAGTCCGGTCGTGTTCTAGCTTGTACAGTCCCTCGATCTTCCTCGTTTGAGCGCATCAGGGAGCGACAATATGATGACCCTCATTTGCATATCCTTAGGGACACAGTGCGACACGATGGTGCCAAGAAGGTTATTGTTGGAGATGACGGAGTTTTCAGGATGCAGGGTCGTATTTGTGTGCCCAATGTAGACTGACCTCGTGAATTGATTCTTGAGGAGGCCATAGTTCCCCGTATTCTATTCATTCATCTGCGGCCAAGATGTATCAGGACTTGCGGCAACATTATTAGTGGAAAAGGATAAAGATGGATATAGTTTCATATGTAGCTCTGTGTCTAAATTGTCATCAAGTAAAGCATGAGCATCAGAGACCAGGTGGTTTGCTTCAGAAGTTAGAGATTCCTGAGTGGAAGTGGGAGCGTATGACTATGAACTTCATTATTGGGCTTCCATGGACTTAGAAAAAGTTCAATGCGGTATGGGTCATTGTGGACAAGGTGATCAAGTCAGCACATTTTATTCCTCTGGCAGTTACCTATTCTTCTGAGCGGTTAGCTGAGTTCTACATCCGCGACATCCTCCATCTTCATGGTGTGCCCGTGTCTATCATTTCTTATCGAGGTATGCAGTATACCTCGCACTTATGGATGGTAGTACAACGTGAGCTGGGCACGCATGTTGAGTTGAGCATAATTTTTCATCCTCATACCGATGGATAGCCAGAGCGCACTATTTAGATACTAGAGGATATGCTCCGCGTTTGTGTTATAGGTTTCGGGGGTTCGTGGGATAAGTTCTTGCCACTTGTGGAGTATGCCTACAACAACAGCCACCAGTCCAGCATTCAGGTGGCTCCCTATGAGGCATTATACGGGTGGCGTTGCTGATCACCACTTGGATGGTTCGAGCTGGGAGAGGCTCGGTTGTTGGGTACAGGTTTGGTACAAGATGCCTTACATAAGGTCAAGATTATTCAGGATCGACATCGCATAGCTCAGTCTAGGCATAAGAGTTATGACGAACGTAGAGTTCATTATGTTGTATTCATGGTCGGAGAGAGGGTATTGCTTCGGGTTTCACCCATGAAGGGTGTGATGAGGTTCGAAAAGAAGGGCTATTTGAGCACTAGGTATATCGGTCATTTTAATATTCTTCAGAGAGTGGGTGAGGNGACTAAAGTTAAACTCGTCTAATATAAATTCTAAATCTACCTTTTTACAATAGTGCCCCTATTATCTTAAAATTCTGGATCCACTTTATTTTCCGGACCCTGCGTAAAAGAAGTCTTCAACTAATGCTGATGTGATTCTAAGTTCTTTTACCAGCTCTGCTTGTCACCAAAATATAGTAATTACTAGGAGTTTTTCGTTTTCTTTTGGGGAGAATAACTAGTTACTAAAAATTGATGAACATGAGGAACATGTGTTATTGATATATCTCCAAATTTCAAAATTACCAACAGCTACGGTGGAATAATACACTTCACATAGTTGTTGGCCCACTAAATTTATCTACTCTCTTTTTCTTTTTCTTTTTTGCTTCAAAAGATAAGTAAAAGTTTTTCCACTCTTATTTCATTGCCTATAAATACCTCTATTGTGTTAGTGTTCATTCACAACTCTGAATTGCAGTCTGTTTTTCCACTCTTATTTACTCATTCAAAGAAACTATGGCTCGCTCCTTGTGCTTCATGGCATTTGCAGTCTTGGCAATGATGCTTTTTGTTGCCTATGGTTTGTCTCATTAATTTGTTCCTCTAAAATCTAAATAAAAATAAATGGAAATTATGTGAAGTTTAATTCTTGACAAGTTTAATTCTTGTTCTTGCTATGCAGTCGCTTAAGTACATAAGTTTGTATTTTTGTTTTTTAAACAAAAAAGCCTCCTTATAATGGTGTCTGCATATGACTTTATCTGTATATTTTTCTTATCAAAAAATGAATTTAAAGTTATAAATTTCTTATCAGTTTTTCAAGTTAAATTTGTTTGCAAGTTTAACTTATATACTTTGATAGTGTACCAATAGTGTAATATTTCTTTACACTATCAGGTCTCTGTTACATGTGGTAATATTCCACTTTCGTTATTTTTAAAATATGTATGGAGCATTATCTGTATATATCTTTTGGGAGAGACCTAATACTGTAAATTAATACTGTTACTGTAAATTAATATTGTTAGTGTGTACGAGTTAAATACCTCATAAAATTTTAGTTATACTTATAAGTGCTTTTGAATGATTGTAGAGGTGCAAGCTAAGAGTACTTGCAAAGCAGAAAGCAATACATTCGAGGGATTCTGCGTTACCAAACCACCATGCAGAAGAGCTTGTCTCAAGGAGAAATTTACCGATGGAAAATGTAGCAAAATCCTCAGAAGGTGCATTTGCTATAAGCCATGTGTATTTGATGGGAAGATGATCAATACAGGAGCTGAAACTTTAGCCGAGGAAGCAAACACTTTGGCTGAAGCTTTGCTTGAAGAAGAGATGATGGATAACTAATTGGCGATTAGAAGAAATTAAGGATGAAGTGTCACACATAATAAAGTGCTGCCTTTCTTATAAGTGTAGCTAATGTTGTGTTCTTATTGGCTTTTAATAGCCGTTTATTACACTTTAAATAAGTGTGGCACGTCAATCCTTTGTCCATGTGACGACCCAAAGGGTCATCACCGGACTTCTTCCTATTTCCGTGCTTCCGAGGCCTTAAAAACCTCGCTTTTAGTTGCCTCGATTTGCGTGCATAGCCCGGGCGCGAAGCCGGAAAACTTTTATGTTGAAATATGTGAACTTTGTGAAAAATTTGAAGAATTTTGATATTAATATTGCTAAAAATGACTTTGGTCAACATTTTTGGTAAACGGACCCGGACCCGTGATTTGGCGGTCCCAGAGGGTCCGTAGAAAAATATGAGACTCGGGCATATGCCCGGAGTCGAATTCCGAGGTCTAGAGCCCGAGAAATGAATTTTTCTACGAAATTGTTTTTCTGAAATTATTAAGGAAATTGGAAATGAAATTTGATTAAAAGACTGTGGTATCGGGCTCGTATTTTGGTTCCGATGCCCGGTACAAGTCTTAAATATGTGTTAAGCGCTTTCTGTAAAGTTGGTCGAAATCGGACGTCGTTTGACGTGTTTCGGACCTAAATATCTAAAGTTGGAAGTTTATGAAGTTATAATGAAAAATGATGAATTTGGGGCTTGATTCATTGATTTTGCTGTTGTTTTGGCGATTTGATCACTCGAGTAAGTTCGTAAGATGTTATTGAGTTAGTGTGTGTGATTGGTTAGGAGCCCCGAGGGCTCGGGAGTGCTTTCGGAGGTGTTTCGGGATGTTTTGACTTAGGAAAAACATAGCAGAAAATTCTGCTATTTTTGCTCAGTGATTTCCTCTTACGTGATCGCAATCTTCAGCCCGCGATCGCGTTCCTTTGGCTCTTTACTCTTTCGCGTTCGCGTACTTGATCACGCGATCGCACTGCCTTAGCATTTCCTTCAATGCGTTCGCACCAGTAGGTTTGCGTTCCCATAGACCAAGCTTTGGACCCCCCCAGTATTCCCCTACGCGATCGCATTACAACCCACGCGATCGCGTTGACCATTCTGTGTAACCCTTCGCGATCGCATCCCTATATCCGCGATCGCGTAGGGCAAATTCGCCCACTTATTTTAAAGCCTAAAAACAGAACCAGTGACGGGAATTCTTCACCTTTCTCACGAGCCCTCTTCTCTCCCAAGCTTTAGGAAGCCATTAAAGCCCCCAATCTTCAAGACCACTTGAGTAAGTAATTTCCCACTTATTTCCTTCACTTTTCCTTCATTAATTAGCAAGTTTCTAAGCCT